GCCCCGATACCCGATACCAGTATCGGTGCATCCCTATTTTTAACCCTACAATACAAAGTGGCTTGAGGCCATAGTTGTGTTGATTTGGTGCTAAATGAAAGAAAATGTGTGGTATGGTTTTCTGTGCAGTGTAAGGTCAGAGCAACAGTGTACAACTGCAGGTCTGTATTAAAAAAGAAAAGGGGGGAAATGCTGGAGCTCCTCTGAACTCGACTTTATCAGGAGGAGAGGTTGTGCACGCACGCCTGCCTCAGGGTAAAATGGTGTGTGTGGTCACACCATTTCACCCTGCATGCAGTGACACTGATTCATCCCTACAGATGAATTCAGAGAGCCGTACTTGTCAAGTTAAAGAAAGTTCTTCCCAGCCGCTCCTCATAAATCAGCCAGCCTGATAAATTGACCAGTGTTAGCCATTTGCATATACATCAGTCTGAGCGCACAGCTCAAACGGATATGCTCATAAATACTGTTAGTATGTTAGCTGTTAGCTGTTAGCTGCCCAGCTGTTGGTGGTTGTGTTGAAGCATCACCACCTTTATTTTTAGTGGTCACTGCAAGGAAGTACTACATATGTAGGATCACAGTTGTAAGTGTTGAGTTAAATTAAGATTAAAAAAGATGCTTTTGTTTGCAATGGGAAATTTATATCTGTCACCATCTTTGCTGTTGGTCCTCACACACAGGCACACTCTAATTATATCAGTGTGCCCGCGCGTATACATGCTTGGATATGTCTGTATGTATAACAGTAAACACAAGTGTTAAGATCGTTCCAGCACATCTCTGATGAAAACTGTTTTCATATCAGCCGTGGAGTATTGTCCCTGCAGTGCTCACCTGGGTTTGTGATAACTCCACAACAGAGTGGCATAGAAGCTTTAAATTGATACTACAGGTGTATCTACTAAAAATGTCAGACGAGTTTGAATCTCAGTGACCTCGAGGTCAGAGGTCAAGTTTTCTGAAAATCTCATGAATGCAATAACTGCAGAGCAACATAGGACTTTGAAATTG